GTTTGGCGACTTAACCTTTTTCTTACCGCGCCAAGGAGGGTGACTCAATCATCTGATCTGCATCGTCATTGACTGACCGGAGATCCAGTTTCGTTACGCTTCCCTAACCTCCTGCCCCTGCCATGGCCCTGAGGATGTGAATAAGGATAAGGACAGGGTTGGGTTCTGTACGATGATGACCAATGTCCAGGGCGCAAATGTTGAACTTTCTAGCTAAAAATTAATTGAATTTGTTGCTGCTGCTGCTGCTACTGCTGCTGCTGCTACTGCTGCTGCAGCGACAATTCCATTAAAAATGTCCGACAAAGTCCTTTGAACTTTCAACCCAAAAGGATGCCAGGGGTTGTCTTAGCTTCTGTGTACTCGGTCCAAGGGGTTCTTGGGTTGAGGGTTGAGGGTTGAGGGTTACGCCAAAGTTAAGAGCCACTTTTTGGGTTGGAAAATGTCTGTTTTCCGCATCCATTAGTGAGGCTGGAACAAGGGTTTCGTCGCTCTTGTGGTCTGATCTGGACCAATCCCCAGGCTGTTCCTGCACGAGCCAATGGCAAGCTGCGGCAGATTATTGTGCCACTTGTGGCAGAGGCTTAGTCTGCCATTAGGAAACATAATTATAAGAATGCTTTTGATGATTAGTTCCTCCCTTTGGATTTTTCTTTACAGATTATTTTCCTAAATTTCTCTGCTCTTTTTAATGGGGTTTCCTTCAGGATTCTCTTCAAGTTGCAGCTGCCACTCAGAGATTTGTGCTGCAAGCTTCAGCTTATCCTAAGTCTGTTTCTATTTGATATTTCTGGCCGCAAACTGACCGTTAGGTCTCCCTCTGCCTAATCCTTGGGCAAACTTGTCCTGCTCTCATTTAGGATTCCATTCATCGGACACGTCCCATTCCCATTCCCATTCGCATTCTCATTCTCCTCGTTGTTGTTCTTTTTGCCTCCTCCTCCTCCTCCTGCTTGAACTCGAATTCGGACTCTGAACTAAAAAACAAAAATAATAAAAGCAGCGAAAAACCGTTACGTCTTAGCACAATGCCCAAGGGTCCTGCCAGCTTGTCCTTTTCCTTTTCCTTTTCGTTTTTTTTTTTTTTGTTTCTTTCTCTCCCTCGTTCCTGGCCACTGACCTCATTTCGATCGGGTGCGCTCTTCGGCTGGGTCCGATCCGAAACTCCGAACTTGAACCGAAACGACTCCTAAAAGGGCTCCTAAACGCCTTTGGGGTTCCTAGAAATGTTTAACAAAGTGCCAAACGGAGTGGAGAGCTCCTCTATCGCGGGTGTCTGGTGCATCCATACAGAAATCTGACCACCACATAATAATTGAATTCCATCCAGAGGGACTCCGCCCTGACGTCCAGCTCCGTGACCAGAGATAAATCGCAGTGAGATCAAACTCTCATTAACCCAAAAGGAGGATCCATAAATTAAGCATAAACTCTAACGGCCAGGGCAATAGGGTAAGGGGAAGGGGGCGCAAAATGACGCAGTCATAAAACAAATTTCTAATCAAGCAGAGATTCGGACTCCGGATCAAATTGTAATACGCATGTTGACCAGTCGCAGAACGGGCTGGGACGCGGCTTTCGGGACTCTGGTCAGTGGCATGAAATATGAGTCCAGGGCAGCACAGACAGGGAGAGGGACATCTAGAGGGGAACGCTTGGTCAAGCGTGTAATGCTTAAGGATGTGAGAATGTCTTGGCAATGGCAATTTCACAGTCGCAGCAGAGATAAAGATGAAGCGAGAGAGGAAGGGAGGGAGAGAGATAGAAGCGTAGATCCGCAAAGCAAATCAAGATCATTGACCAACCCAGACCCAACCCAGACCCAACCCAACTAATATTCAAATGAGGTCGCCCGGATCGGGGCCCGAGGGCCGTAAATTAAGGCGGCCAACTGCTGACCAAATGCAACTGCGACCCGTGGTCGGATGGGAGGGCTGCGATCGGTTCGGGCCTTGCAGGCCAAGACGGGCATCGGGAAGGGGTGAATAGCTGAATAACGAGCGCGAAACTCATTATAATGGGAGCAAACGGCAAAGGGCACAGTCATAGGGGAGAGGGTGAGGTGCAGAGGTGCAGAGGTGCAGAGGGGCAGTGGCACCGGGAAATTGCATTGACCTAAAACTTCAAGACATCGCCGAGCAAGAGCAAGAGCAAGAGCAAGGCGCAACCCTTGTGCCCTTCCTTCCTTCCTTCCTTCCTTCCCTGCAATAAGCCCGGACACTGGACAATGGTCAGTCCCGCTGCTGCTGGCTACTTAGTGTCCCGTCCCGTCCCGTCCCAAATGCCGATCCCATTCCGGTCTCGCGGCTCATTTGCATTTTTCGCGCTCTCGTTCGGGATGGGATGCGAGATGCGCCTTCGCTTCGTCTATTTATTTATTTGTTTCTTTAGCTCCCCGATCTGTGGCTGTGTCTGTGCCTATCCCATATCCAGATCAGGTCAGGTCGCAAATGGCGCTGGCACTGGTGCTGGGAACTTTTCTTGACCGTTGGCCACTCATTGTGTGCTTTTGTGCTCGCTCCTTGACCATCTCTTTGTCTCACTCTGCACCCTGCACTCTGCGCCGGCCATCTCTCTCTCTCTCTCTCTCTTTTTCCCTCGTTCGGAGTCCCTCGGTGAGTGGTCCATTGTCCAGGGCGTTGTCTTTTGTTTTCTTATGTCATGTTGGACAAGAACTAGAACTAGAACCCAGTGCCCGAACCCAGCCAAAGCTCTCAAGGCGCAAACTAGTTTCGCTTCTTCAAGTTCCCGCTTCGAGTGAGACATATTTCGCGGCAATCAGCAGCCGGAAGAACCAGCTGGGCTCCCAAAGAGCTGTGTGTCCCCTCAGTCGACTCCTTGCCTAATTATATGCTTCGATTATGGGGCCAGTCTTCGGTAGGGAGAGGGCCATAGCGTTATGCTCATAATTCATAAATAAAATTATCTTCAATCAATGTTCAGATTAGAAAAGAAACTAAAAGAAGTATCCATGGATATGGATGTAGAATTAGTCTAAAGTTGTTTCCAACTCATCCTACTCCGCTCTGGGCCATCAGCTAATCAAATTTGATAAATCTGCACACATTCATCACTGCTGCTGATGATGATTGCTGACCTTTTGCCGCATGATGTGACCTGCGGAGTGAACTTTTCCCAAATTAATTGCTTCATTTCATGCAGTTTATGCGCCGAAAGCCGAACGCCGAAAGCCAAGCCCATGGCCCAGCAACATCCACCCCCCGAGCAACAAAAACAAAGTTGCGGAAGAGTCAACATCAGGGAGCGACATCAGGGGAAACGAGAGTGCAATGAGGGGAGTTGGGGGATGTTCTTTAGTTCTTTAGTGGGCTGACGCGGCTGATGCGGCGCTTAATCGTGACTTTTAACGCACACCATGAGCGCTGAGGATGGGCAGGGATCGGGGCCAAAAGGTGAAGCTAAACGGCTGACATTAAGGGTGGCTGTCGGCCCAGGGCCAGGGCCAGGGACTGGGACTGGGACTGGGTGTGGCCCACGTCTCGCCCACGCTCTGCGGGAAGCATCTGTGTGCATGGGTTTGGCTCTGTTTCTGTTTGTGTTTGTGTTTGTGTTTGTATTTTGTGTTTGTGGCAGCTCTGCTGTGGCCTCCTCTGTTGGCTAATCCCAAAGGCTCTGGCATTTTGGTTGGAGGAGAGCAGACAAGAGCAGACACTCCATAATTGCATTCGGCACGCCGACTCAACGCTCCGATTCCTTTTGGCCCAGACATCTGACATTTTAGCCAGCAGCAGCAGGAGAGAGATAGAGAGAGAGAGAGATGGATGGGGAATGGAGTGCTGAATTCCATGCACTTCCTTCCGCCCACAGCATGACCAGGAAACGCTTTTCCACTTTTTCCGTGCATTTCGTGCTTGATGCTTTACGCTAGACAGACTTTCGGTCAGCACTATAAAATCCCTGTATGCACATTTAATACAATGTATTATTATGAATGTATATAAATATATGTGTGCAAGGCCTAAACACGCAGCTCACATATTGCAGAGAGAGTGAGAGAGAGAGAGAGCGAGATACGGAGCTTAAATTAATTGCATTTTGTCTTTGACTCTGGCAAAAGCCTCGACTCCTGCTGTACTATGAGCTTTCAATTTCGAGCCACACTCTTCCCTTCCCATTCCCTGCCATTCAACGCAGAGCTTTCATGTATGCGAGGCTGCACGCTTTGTTTACGTTTACCCAGAAATTTGCATGCAGCTTCGATCATACTGAGGGCAGAACGGGAGAGACATAGCTGAAAAGCTCAAAGCACATGACTAGCTGTAAATATCTAAATCAGTTTGCTGTTCTTCGCAATGCTGCGATTGTATGTATACATATATTTGTGAAACGAGACTGTAAGCATCGAAGCGATTTTGGTGATTTTGGTGTTACAAAACAAATGAATAAATATGCAGCCATCTATGTACATATGTATGTGTTGTGTATATAATAAATTCAATCGAGATGCAATCAATGAAACAAAACACAAGACAGCAGCAGCAGCAGCAGCAGCAACAACGAAAGTGAAAACGAAACCGAAACAGAAACCAAATACGCACACATACATACATATACAGTAAATCACATGCAAGTGGCCGGCAATTATCACGTGCAAGCCATGAAACTGGTACAAAGCAGTGATGGCGGTGGAAGGGGGGAGGGGCGTGGAGAGTGAAGGCAATTCGACCATGAATCTGCCATGAAATCAGCCAAGAATCATCAATGAAGTAACGATTAATTTATGCAAGAATCATCTTCTAAAGGAGCCAACCATGAAATATCCACAAAATATGTATGCAAATTGTTTGCCTTCTCAGGCGGCTGTGCATTTTCACACACACACACACACACAGAGAGAAACAGTTCAGACAGAAACTCGAAACTTAAACTCGAATCCGCACCCGAACTAGTAACAGTAACTAAATAGCCCAAAATAAGCACACATATTGTCGATTTCCAAATTTTTGAAGGAGTAAATTTAAAGTTTAAAAACGTTTTCAATGGATTTGACGATTAGCAAATTGCATCTGGGCCTCCTTGTGGGCACACCCGTGGCCTTTGGCATTGGCAAGTATTTGGCCAAGATGATAACCATTCCACAGGCCCAGACGGGAGAAGAGCAGCAGGAGCAGCTGGACGGCATGGTGGTGGCGGAGCTATCTGACAGTACCATGGGGCATGGACGCTTGGTCGCGGCAATCGACGAATGTGGCGTGACCATGAGCAAGGAGATCAGCAGTCATCGCAGGGGCATGTCCGTGTTGCACCAGAGCCGCGCCATGGGGCATGAGGTGCTCAAGAATTGGCCAGCGGTGAAGGGAGACTGCGCCAAGGCCCTGGAGTTCGACTGCCGCAACGGCATGGCCTACCTGAGTCGGGCACGTGCAAACGAGGCCACCGGGGACCTGCAGGAGTGCCTGAACGACCTGGCGGCTGCCCGCATCCTGCTCCACGTCTCACGCATCTCTGATGGCAGCCTAGAGTTCGCGTCCATCGAGTCATTCCTGCAGCGCATCCTCCAGCAGAGCGCAGAGGCCGATGCCAAGGCGATAATGCGCCAACGGGGTCCCCGCCTGCCCTCCAAGATGCACATCAACTCGCACATGAGCGCCTTCAGCGCCGATCCGCTGCAGGCGATGAGCTTCGATCGTTGTGAGGATCTGCAAGGGTTCCCCCGCGCCCACTGGGCCTTCCGCGACCAGCGCTTCGAGGACGTCATTCCCGCCTGCAGCGAGGAGATCGACTCCACCGAGCACTGGGCCAGGCACAAGCCGGAGGCGCGTCTGCTGCGCGGCACCTTCCACCTGCTGTGCGGCTCCTTCGCGGAGTGCCAGCAGGACTTTGAGGCACTGATCGGCGATGCTGACGCGGATGCCACGCTGCGCGCCTACGCCCTCATTCGCAGTGGGGCCCTCCGCCTCCAGCTGCAGCAACAGGACGAGGCCCTGGACGCCTTCGAGCAGGCGGCGCGGCTGGCGCCCGACAATCCCGACCTGTACCACCAGCGCGCCCTGATCCACAGCAAGCTTCAGGACCTCGAGGCGGCCCTGGTGGACTTCGAAATGGCCTCGTGCCTGGCCCCGGGCCACGGCAGCTCCGTGGCCCTCAAACACTTCACCGAGTACCAGCTGGCGAAGCTCCAAGACGACCAGCCCCGCATGGCGACTGCGCTCCGCAGGCTGGACAAGGTGGGGGCAGCCTTCCCCAACACCATCGATGGCCACATGCTGAAGGGCAGCATCATGTCCGAGCGCAAAGACTTCGCCAGGGCGCTGGCCTGCTTCGAGAAGGCCGCCCGGCTGGCGCCCAGGAACCCCGTGCTGATGGCCAACCGCGCCATCTTGGAGCTGAAGCAACACGACAACGCCGAGCTGATCATCCCGCTCCTGTACGAGGCCATCGAGCTGGACCCCCGCTGCGCCACGCCCTACGCCAAGCTGGCCACCCTCGAGATGAAGCGGCACAATCCCGACAAGGCCGTGGAGCTGCTCAACCAGTCCTGCCTCTACAGCGACTCCCTCCAGGAGGTTCTGCACGCCTGCACCGTGCGCAATGGCATTATGGCGTGCACCGTTGCCAAGAAGAATTTGGGCATGGGTTTGGGTTTGGGCGTCGACCAGCAGCGGCACCCAGCCGGCCCCGAGGCCACAGTCTAATGTGTTGGAAAGTTGTTTGGGTTTGAGTAAAGATTACGAAACATTTTCCCACCTTTGAAGGGTTTGTAGAGGGCTTTTCCCACGCCCCCAGCTGCGCCCCCAGCCAGCGCTTATCGCAAAAGCTTTTCCTTTTGGCTTGCCATCCGCCCGCATGGGATCCTCCCAGCAGAGAGCAGCGGGCAGGGAAGCAATGAATATGCCCGATAAGGCGATGGACATGTGTCTTTCCATGTGTGGATTTGGGTTTTGTTTTCCCGCCATTTGCTCAGCGAACCGAAGACAGCCGCCAAGACAGAAGGTCTCTCGTGATAAGCACACAAGACAGGGGCTGGGGCAGCGTTTGTCGTGTGCCGTGTGGTGTAACGAAGGAGAGCGATTGTCAAGTCGATCGAGCAAAGGATCACCGCACTAAGTAACTCTTCCAGCTGACGCTGGTACGTGCTGTCGTACCACGGTCCAGATTATGCCCCGAGCGGCAGGACAAATGCCAAATCAACTGAGTCGCTGAAGCGTTGCCCACGAAGGAGCTGTTTGTGTGTGCGTGTGTGTGTGTGTGTGTGTGTGTGGAAGGGGAAGAAGCGCTACAAGAGCCTCCGCCCCGGCAAATTACACAGAGAGAAATTAAGAGGGGGGGGGGGAGAGCGAGAGGGAGAGCCAGCTGCAAGGCGACATTCGTCATCATCTTGATAGTGCCACGTCAACGTGTGGCATGTGGGCAGCGTCGCGTGGGCTTCCTTTGCCCACTCCTCCTCGATGTTCCTGGCAGTTGTGCAACTTCTGGGGTCCTAAGCTGACTAAACCAGGAACAGGGAAGCCCCCCAATGGAGATGCAAGGGATCTGCAAGGGAACAAAACGGATAATTCCACTCAATTGTGGGTCGATCTTAGGATGTTTTGCATGCAAGAGTTCCATCTTGAAAGTGTCACAGATAAAGCTACAAAGGGACAGAGATCAAGTGGGGCAGCAGCTGGACCGCTTTCCGCACAAAAGGCATCCCCAGACAGCCGCAAGTCCAGGTCCAGAAAAGAAACACAAAAGCAAGTGGCTAGAAAGCGAATAAGTAAGAGGAAACGACTGCAGAATACCTAATCAGAATCAGCAGACGCAAAGGCCACAAATATCAGTCTTGAAACCATCTCAAGACCCTCAAAGATCGAATGGCGGAGCAACGTTCGGGCGGGGGGCATAAAAATGTCATGTGGGTTCACCGACGACTGCACAGGGGCACGTGCCCTCTCAAGCGCGAAATGCAACTGCAGCAGCAGCAGCAACAACCAGCAGCAGCAGCAACAGCAAATGAATGACTGGATAAATGAGGAAGATGCCCCCGACTTTGGTCTTGAGATCTCGCGGGTGCCCCTCTCGGTGTCTCGGCTCTTGCCCAAATCGACGATGGCCTGGCCTGGTCGGGTCGGGTCGGGTCTGAGCGGGTCTGGCCTGGTCTGGTCTGCTCTTCATCTCTTTGTATCTTTGTATCTTTGTATCCATCTATCTCTATCTCTCTTTGTGCAGCACTTCCGGCGCTGCGGTTGACTGTGCTCGCCCCACGCCCTACCACATGCCCAGCTCCTACCTCCATCTGTACGAGTATCTTCCAGCTAGCAGCTACCTCTCCCTCACCATCATCATTATGATCATCGTTTCGTTTTCTTTAATTGCTCTCTGGACTGTTGGCCCTCTGGCTGTGTGCTTTGTGCTGTTTCCCTTGCTGTTGCTGTCCTGCCATTCCCGCAGGTTTTCCTTATTTTTCTCAGCCCTCTTCTTAACGACAATAGGGTTGGCTCTTGCTCTTCTTCTGTGTGTGTGTGTCTCCCTGTCTCTCTGTCTCTGTCTCTTTCTCGTTTTTATTATATTTCTTTTTCCTATTAAAACGTCCCCGACATTGCAGTTAAATTAGATTAAGAAGTCATGCACATGTCTTGCCTCTGCCTCTGCCTCTGCCATCAGTTGCTGCTGGCTACAGACAGAAGGTTTTGCCGTTAAGGTTCAGAGTGTGGAAAACCTTTTCCCCACACGTATGCACATCAGGCAGATCCTTACACGAACATGCTGTAGGATTGGAAGACAGAGAACCACAGAGGCACTCTCCAGTCTTCAGCGGGAAGATATTTCTCCACAGGGAAAGCCCAACAATACCCCCAAATATGATGAATCTATAATTTATTTTGTGTACCCAAAGGTCTGTCATCTGTGGCAGCAGTGAACAATTCCTGGAGGGGCTTCTCAGCATCAACTCAAACTCAATCCTCGAATGGCTCTAATTCCAGTTGCACTTGCAACGGCTGCATGTCCTTGGCAGTTGGCAACTGTTCCCCTGCCGCTGGGCTGAACAAAACCGATCCTGATGCTGCATCATTCACAGCCAAGGCCAGCGGGAAAGGGAGATGGAGAGGGAGAGGAAGAGGGAGAAGCTTGCCACAGGTAGAGTGGCGGACGATGAACCTGTTCCTTGGCTTCTGTGTTGCTGGCTTCCCGAGAAGCGGGACCCTAAATGGGTAATGGGCCCAACAGGTGCATTGAGAATCCCTCGATCGAGCTGCGGCGGCACGCGCCTGTTGCAGGCAGGCAGGCAGGCATTCTTGCATCCTTGCAGCAACATCAGACAACATCCGAGGCATCGTAAATAAACGAAGCAAGGGGCACGTGCCCCGTTCCACAGAGCAGCAGCAGCAGCAGCAGTGAGATCGCGAGGGAGATCATCGGCCCCTGCCCCTGAACAATTTCGATCTGCAACTGCAACATCATCGTCAGCAGCGTCATTGTCCTCTGGCAGGATGAATGTTCCAATTCCCAATCCCCTTCCAGTGATGATGATGATGATGCGAGACCTGTTCCTGGCACTCACTCCACTCCACTCCGTTCTCTTTCTTCCTTCAAGACGGACCCCTTTCCCCACTCAGATGGCCGACTGCAAGCTGCATTTCTGCGGTTTGTTGTGGCTCGTGCCGTGCCCCAGCCAGACACTGTCCCATGCCACACCACATTCGGCTCCAAATTACCGCGACTGAGGGAGCCACAGAGCCACTCCCGGACAGCTGAGGCCGCGCAGCCGCTTTATAATTAACTTGATGATCGGGTCTGATCGCGCTGTCCTTGCAGCATCCCTCAGACGACAGCTGAAAAGCGGAGAGCACAGCCAGCAGAGAGGAAGGAGTGGAGTGGAGTGGAGTGGAGTACAGTTTCTGCTTCGAATGGAAGTTCCTTAGCCTTCTAAAATGATTCTCCACCTACGCACCGAAGGCCTGGTCAATGAACCAATTAGGCAGCCAATTATGGCTAAATAGACGCACCTTTGAAGGCCACTCATTTATCGCTCGAGGGTTTTATGAGGCACGGAGACACGCCCACAATCGGACAAATCATTGCGTAACTAGGACGAGGGCAGCAGCAGCAACGCTCATAAAAAAAGGATCTGGGCAGGGAAAACATCTGTCCAGAGAGCGTCCAATCTGCTGCTCACACCTTGGCCACAGTTTGGGGATGGGGATGGGGATGAAGTGTGCTGGGGTGTGTCCTTAAGTGTCCATAAATCAGTTGGCGGCCAACAGACTCCGCCAACGATTGAGCCCCGCTTGACCACAGCTGTGCAGGAGCAGGAGCAGGAGCAGTCCTCTGGCTATTTCCCAGGGCAGGACAGCCTCCCGCTGCCTGTGGCAAAGCCTCCTCCTTCGCTGCAATTGTGTTTGCTCAGCGTCAACATTTGCCTGCGCTCAGACAGAGAGCAGAAGAAAACGCACCAAGAAAAGGGAAAACGGGAAAACGGGAAAACGGGAAAAACAAGCAGAAATAAAGTTGCAATCGTCGCAGGATATCAGTGACTCAAACCTCCCTGCCCCAGCCAGTAAAAAGCGAACAACCCCCTTGGACCCCCACAGGAAAACGAAGATTCGTGAGAAAAGCAAAGCAATTCGGATATTAAAACGGAAACAAAGATGGGAATGGGAATATAAGTGGAAATGGATGGTGGAGCAAAATATTGCTCAAACAGTAACGGGGAAAGACTTTCGACTGTTAGTGGGAATTTGGTAAGAATTTGGCAATAATTTGAGCACAAGTTTCCCTATTCTCGGAAGCTTTACCTCTGGTTCCATTGCGTTCCTTCCTGGTTCCCTTCTCCGACCAGTTGCAGAAAGTTGCACTTTGTGTGGGTTTCTGCCCCACATGCATGTGTGTGTGTCCATGTGGGGAAAAACAACAGACTACACAGTCCGTTTCGTCCCTTGCATGTCCGTAGCGTATCCCCAGTTCCAGTCGCAGACCCGACCCCCCCTCCAGAATGACTTGCTAAAAGCGTTTTGCCGAATGTTGGCCTCGAGACCACCTTCCGCCACTTCCGCACCCACCAGTTTCGCTCTCTCTCTCTCTCGCTGGCCATGCCTCTCCTGCCATTGCGTCCCGTATGCACACGCTTTTTCTTTTCCACAATGTCATCCAGAGAGAGTAGCACACTGAATACCCTTCACGAAAGACTTCTTGAGATGTAGATGCACACAGCTTTCCCGTGTGGGATTGTGCGAAGGCAGCTGCTATGAGTCTATGTGGGGTGAACCCACATAGAACCCTCCACAACAAAAGGTTGCCATTGTAAATGAAATATTCTTTCGAACTGAGGGAATATCCCAAGAGCTGGCTGACCGAGGTGCTCTGCCGCATGTCGCGTGGCTGCCAAATTGTGCTCAAATTGTGGAATACCCCGTCTACGTACTTACCACCTAAAAGTTTCACAGTGGGCGGGAAGCCAGACCAGAGAAGTGCGCCTCATCGTGTCCGTGTCCGTGTCCGCTCGTCTCTCTCTCGCTCTCTCGCTCTCTCTCTCTGTCTGTGTCTGTGTGTATCTTTTAGATAGTTTTTTTCAAGCGCAAGTTGCACTCAATGCAGCTGCCTGGCTGCCTGGCTGCCTGGCTGCCTGGCTGCTGCTATCGATCCATGGCACCGTGAGTCACGGCAAGTGGATGCAAACTTTCAGCATTCAGTGTGTGAGAGTGTGTGTGTGTGTGCG